GAGCAGGCTCTTATTTATCAGGTGGACAAAATGATACTCTCTGACATTTCAGTTATTTTCTCCAGCCACTCTAGTGTTTGCTCAATGGACTCCTGAACAAAGTGGTTGTGGTGGCTGGGATGGAGGCTATGCGTGCTCTCAACAATGTGGATTTACCCTTACTAAGGCTGATTTGGCTAACCCTACTACTGAGTGCCTAATCGGCAAAGAGTAAAGACCAGCATTACGTTTCCTTGGGTGGCTTCTCCCATACATGTCTTCTGTAGCACACAGTGACCACCAGCACCCAGTGGCCAGGAGCTGGCACCTTTCAGGAAGTTTCATAGTGTAGTATCTCTGACAAGACATCGCCTCGTGAATAGCTCCCCCAACACTCTAGGTGATGGATTTCCAGTAAGATCCAGAGGACAGATTTCCAGCAAGTTCTGCCAGCACATCACCACAGAGACTTCTCTGTCATCCAGTGAGTCACTGCTGTACTCTCTTCAACATCTAGATCTTGAACCGGGGACTGATACAGATAGAAAATAAATAAACCCTTTCATTAATCAGATTGTTTATTGTCCTGAAATTTCCATCTCATTGTGATGAGAGAATTAAAGTCTGGTCTAGTCCTAAGAGGATGAAGGTATCCCCAAATTTCACATATCCTAAAACAGAAATAACAGTTCTTCAAGAATTCATGAAAATTTCCTATTTTTAAACCTGAAGCTGAATACACTAAGATAATTCTGTATGACTTTTCTTCATAATTAAAAAAAATCCAAATCCTTCATATTTACATAAACTCTTGTCTTATAGGGTATTGTCCATAGGGTTGATTTTGACAGAAGAGATTAATGTACGAATGAGACTTTCCAATGCTTACATTTAGTTTCAGGACAATGTAGTCTGCTGGTACCCAAGTTCTATAGCTGCGTTAAACCTGAAAAACAATAATTAACCTTTGTAGGTGCCTTATGATTTACAACCTGCTTTCACATAGACTGTAATTTTTAATCTCAACAACCTTCAAAGTTATTTATAATTTAAATAATATAACTTCTTGTTAAGTATATTTTTGTTGTAGAAAATTGAACATTGAGAAACAAAAAGTATAAATTTTAAATGACCTATAATCTCACTATTAAGTGATAGTTGTTGTGAAAACTTTAATCTAAACTCTTCCAGTCTCATTTTTATATATATAAAGACATGTTTTTGTAAAAATGGAATCATGTTGCATGTAGTCTGCTAATTTACGTAGCAATATATCATAACTATGTTTTTATGTCATTAAGTATATTATTTAGTCTTAAATCATGATCTTAATCCTGTTCAATTAGGACCTCTTTAAAATCTAAGGGAAACTGTATTCTCTAAGCCGCAGAAGAAGCAGCCATGCAAATACAGAATTGAAATTTATCAGTGAATGTACAGAGGAGGACCTAGGATTTATGGGATTTGAAGCTTATATAACGTTGGAGACTCTCTTTTAGTTTTTTGCTTTCAACTTTATTTTATTTTTTGTTAGCTTACATGTTTACTTTTAAAACTTTTAATCAATGCAAAATATATAAAGTGGCAGCACCCACCCCAACCTGGCCCCAAGTAATTTTAGTAAGCAGAATGGTATTTTCCCTTACAGAACTGCTGATGAAACTCTACATACATAATATTTCCTATAATATTGAATTGAAAAATACAAATGGTATCATACAATCCATACAGTTCAACAACTTGTTTTTCTCATTTAATAATACTGTATTAGGCATTGAAGAGTATTTCTTAAATGTGAGAAAGTGAATTTAATTTTTACCTCTATTTCTATATTTTAACCTAAATTACTGGTTAGCGAATATAAAAAATTATTTCTTTAATGTCTTCAAAATTAGTTAATTATTACATAGGCAGTCTTTTGGAAATGCTGAACAGTTTTATTAAATAAAGAAAATATCTTTAGTGTTTGTGATTTTGTTAATTATTTTATTTTGCTTATTAAGAAATAAAACAAAACACTTGTTTAGACTGTAGGATTGAGAAACTGATTTAAAAATAAAGGAAAATTTCTTTTTTCTCACAATGTGGGGAGGGCCTTTAAAAGGAACAAAAACCCCAAATTAATATAAATTACATATAAATTATTTATATACATATTTATTTAGAATGAGAAATCACAATATCTTGGTAGAGACTTGGAGATTTAAGTCTCTAAGAGACTTAGAGATTTTAAATGAAATCTGTTCAGGAAATTTACCAGAAATACTTATGTAGAAATGCTTCCTGATTGCAACCTGGTTTCCCCTTTATATCTGGAAAATTCTTCTAACTCTCAGCAATTCAGCACTCAAAGGGGCCTGCATAAGTAAGGGTCTAAGAGAGCCCTCTTAGCTCCTCTCTTCATTAGCCTCAAGGTGAATTCATATTTGTTTATGAATTAAACCCATTGGATCCCAGGTTAAGAATTCCTACTCTAGCACGTCATTTTTTTTTTAATGACTTCCTAGTGATCGATTTCATGGATGTGCAATAATGTGTTTAATCAGGTACCTTCCGTTGAGCGTCAAAGATAGTTTATAATACCACTTTGGGATAAACATCCTCATAGCTAAATCTCTGCATACATTTCTGGTTATTTCCTTAGTATAATTTCCGGTAAGTGGATCAAAGGGTATTCCAAATTTTAAAAATTTAGATTTGGCAGGACTATTGAAGTTCTATTTCACAAAGAAAATCAGAGTGTAGTGGTTTACAGACATGGATCTTTCAACTCCACTTTTCTGACCTTGAATTATATATCATCCCCAGTATACCACATGATTATTGGAAACCACTTGTCACTGTAAAAGGTTTTGCTCCCAGAAGGACTCCATTGGGTTTGCTTCCTTCCGTTTCCCAGACTTGTCACATTCATTTAGGCTCAGCTCACATTGTTCTTACTGCATTTGTGCTCCATGGTCTCTTTGTGGTAAACCTTTTAGTTTGACACAGGACAGCTGTTAGGCATTTTGCTGAGTGTTATCACTCGCTTACCTCCTCAGAAGATTTCAGGAGGACTGTATTTGACACATAAAAGGTGCTCAATAAATTGGTAATTGTTGAATGACGTTGAATCGTTACAACAATCCTGCAACTCCAGAGGACCGTCTGTTTCAGAAACTTTGTGATCAGGCTTGTGTTCTTAACATTCATGATTTCAGATGAAAATGGCTGTAGACTTTTGAGAGGTCTGTGGCTGTTTTAACCTGATGGTTGTAGAGTTTTGTTATAAAGTTTGTTGGATTTTTTATGTTCCTTTATTAAAGGTATGGCGGTATGGAAATCAGCAAAAGAGGAGAAAAGGATAGCTGGGCTCCAATGCTCACCTTTCTTTCTCTTCTCTGACTAGTCCAAAGTTCAAATAATCAAACGTTTATTGAATACCTACAAGGCACTGGCTAGATTGATTTGAGGAATCCTAGTTAAATGAGTATCATGATAAGGTTAGACTCTGAACTACATCACACAATTATTTATGTTTAGTTTTATATATATCATAACAAGGTGTGTTGAAGAAGTTGTTTAAAATAGTGGAAAAGAGTGACCAACAGAGATTGGCTCTGCTTTTTACCTAGTTGTGTGGGTTAGTCTACTGGGTCTGTGTTCTGGCTATCAAATCACACTAACAATGCTTTGCTAAAGTAAAATTCAAAATCTACAAACACAGGCATTCACATTTATATCTTTTTATATTGCCAGTTGATATGTTTAGGAAGATGCTCTTTGAATAAAGTTTCATGTATATTACATATATTTAATTTCTGTAAAATGTTAAATATTCTTAGATAACTAGGTGTTCTCAGATAACGTTTTTTGGACTGGGTGGTTTGGGGGTGGTACTTGTTTTAAAATTATTTAAAATACCATAACCTTCTTTTTGCTGCTTACAATGGGGGAAATTACGGCATTTATAAAATGTTAGTCTCTTGTTTATCTTAGTAAAGACATTTGCCAAAGGCGAACTGCAAGAAGCTCGTGCAGTGCACCTTGTATCACTTTTTGAACTGCCTTCACGCCTGCTTAATTTCGTTTAAACATGATGATAACAAAACAAGAATCTCACAGCTCTCAATTTATTTCCCTATCTGGTTTACATTCCTTACCAGATATTATAAACAGCAGCGAACATAATTCGTGCTCTAGGAAAAAAGTAAGTGTATTTATTAAAAATATATTACAGCACGTTTACGTGCAGTCAAAACAGAGCGGAGTGTATCAGTATTTAATCTTTCTGAAACATTACTTTGGCTCAGATAAAAACATTGTCTTTGCTTTCAGTGGCCAATTTAGCGCTGCCACTTTCGTGACTATATGTAGGCACAATACAAAAAGGCGAAAAATAAATCAGCATGCTATTTTGTTTGCTGCTGCACTGGGGCATCTAATTTACTGAGGTTTGGCCACCAGGTGCAATTTCGTTGTGCTCTGAGAGCCCAGCTGGGGAAACTGCGTGTCTTCTCCTTTAGGTCAGGAAAGCACCAAGTGTTACCGCGATCCCCAGGGACTGATGCTACCCGGTACCGTGTGAGGCGAGTTAAGAACCGCCGGTCGAGTGCCGCTAAAGGCCTCCTAAGAGGGTGGGCGGTTGATGGTAGTGGGGAGTGGGCACCGGCTTCGTTCCGGGAGAAGGCGGGGGCTGTAATTGGGAGGTACTGGAGGGTGATTTGTGGAACATGGGGGATCCGTCTGGGAACCCGTTCAGTTCGGTTGGGCGGCGGCTGCAGGGAACCAGGGCCCGGGGCGCGCGCAATGTCCCCTCCCAGCATCTGGCAGATCCTTCCCTGCCCCACCCTGCCAACGCCGGCGCGCGCTCCCTCCGAGCCCATGCGCGCTCCCTGCTCTCATCCCCGCGCGTGCCCCTCCCTCCCCGGTGCGCGCCCATCACGCACGCGCGCACCCACGTTCCCTCCTCCCCACCTCCTGCCCCGCGCGCGCGAGAAGGCTGGCCGAGGCGTGAGGTGGGCGGGGCGCCGCGCTGACGTTGCCGGGGATGCGGAAAGGTCCCTCCGCCGTCTCCGCCGCCACCGCCACCGCCACCAGCACCACCACCGCCGCCTCCTCCTCACCTGCCTCCCGGGTTTGTATGAAAACACCCAGCCGGGGGGCGGCGAGGATCTGCGGTGCGCCCAGAGAGCAGCCGGCGCCTAGCCAGGTGGTGCGGCTCTGTCCAGTCCCTGCCACCGCCCTCTCCTGAGCGGGTGAGCGCCCCGCCGCCGTCCGCGTGCCTGGGCCGGCCGACCCTCCGCCACAGCTTTCCCGCCCGCACGGTGCCCCTCTGCTCTCCCTGGGCCGCGGTGTCCTGGGGGCGGGAGAAGCGGGAGAAGAGTGACTCCGGGCCCGCCACAGTTTGCGCCCTGGGACCTCTCCGTCCCTCACCTGACAGGTTGTGTAACGCATGTCTTTTCGGGGTGGACCGGAGCTTGAGGGAAACCCCTTGATGGGCTGGGGCTTTGGCTGGTTCCTGGAAAACGCCCCATCCCGCTTCCACCTACGAACACTCGGTCACCCCCCTTCCCCTAGCCCCATCACCACGGACGGTCCTTGGCGCGGTTTCCGAGCAGCACAGCCCCCCGTGCCCTGCCCCTACTCTCGGGCTCCGAGCGCGCGTCGCCGCGGTGCAACGCGGAGCAGACTGGAGGGGGGCTGCGGGCTGGGGGAGGGCGCGAACCCGAATCCCCACCCATCCCAGCACCCACCCCCTAGGTGCGCCGAGCTTCAAGGTGGGATGGGTGTGGTTTGATATCGGCTATGGCTAGTCTGGCTTTCTTCAATGGGCGCTATGGCCTGAAATGTGTTCTCTGTTTACAACTTGTCGCGTTGTGGGTATTTGAACTTGAATCAGATCGCTGGAGATGACAGTGCAGAGTTTTTCTACAGCCTTCCTTCCTGAGTTGCGGGTTCTTAATTGCAAGTATTCAGTTCAAGGACTCCTGCAAGCCTTACGCAAAGGCTTGCCTGCCTCCCCACCCCCAAACTCCCTTGTGTCGTTTAAGCCTATTAGTACCAGTGTAATTTTGAATCGGTTGGTTTCCTTTCCTGAACATTACCCATTATAGAATTGAGTTTTAATACATCTTAGTATAATTGATGTGAATATTGAGAACTTCAAGACCATTTCTCGTTTTCATATAGCTTGCTTAAGTACCTGAAGGTCTAGCACTGCTGATGATCTAATACGTTTTGAACACTTAGAGGAAATTAGCTTTGGCATTATTAATTCTGTGTGGATGTTTTTTTTTTCCCCTCCAGGTATTCAAAATTGTAGCGATGTTGATAATGCATGACAATTTCTAGTTAGAACTTTAACAGTCTTCTCGATTACTCATTTTCACTTATCTTCTGTCTGTGTTGTAATCTTTGTGTAAATCGAGCTGTCACTTTCTTTAACCTCTGAATTCCTCTTCTGAATTGTCTTCTCCCTGAGAAAACCAGCAAGTTATTTTTGTAATCGTATTGTTGAATGTTTTCAGTTCAGTAGACCAAAAAAGTAGTCGTTTATTTAAGGCAGTTTAAATAGTACATATTTTAAAACATGTGCCAAAAGTTAAAACCAAAGCATACTCAGGAACATCTATAAGCATGTCCTCTGTAATTACTGTGAGGTAGTTATTGGTTTCTTATCCACTCCTTATTACAACTCCTTAAGCAGAGTTGTAATATGACTTGTTCGGTTTCCCATTCCACTTTTCTTGGGTTAAGCTCTACAGTGAAGTTGTAAGTTCATTTTTAATGACCCCAGAACGCTGCCTTGAATTGCTTTGACACATATTTAGAACTGTCCTCTCTGAACTCTGAAATGGACGGGGTAGACTTAGAGTTACCCTTGTAATTAGTCAACACTGCAAAACATTTAAATTTATTAATGTAATTTAAGCTTTTGAAGAAGCAATTTTTATCAAGTTTTTCCAATTGACTTGAATTGAGGCATCATTCTTTTTAGAACATCCTAGCTAGAATCCTATATAATGGTTTTATCTCCAATAGCACAGGGAAAGAGGTCCAAAAATTGTGAAATTATCTAATTTGTATTCTACATTTTGGTGTTAAAAAAAAAATTCTCCTCCACACTATTCACTTTCCAGAACCTGCTTTTCTTGCTTGAAGTCCCTCAGTACCTGCAAGTTGAACAGTGTCTCAGTAGTGATGGATGAACCTGTCAGAAGGATCTCTGCAAGTTGGGAGCTTCTCTTAGGCAATGGGTCTCAGTGTAAACAACAGAAATCATTTAGATGGGCAGTGAATTTTAAACTTTATATATTATTGTTGGTTACACTGCCTGTATTCTGTAGTGTAGTGGCTAAGGGGTTGAATCTCAGAGCCAGACTGGCTGGGTTTGAATCTTGGCTTTGCTTTAGAAGCAAGTTATTCATCCTCTTTGTCGATCATTTTTTCTCAGCTCTAAAAATGGGATAATTGTGGTTATACCCTTACGATGACATTGAACATTAAATGAGCTAATACACATAAATTGCTTAGCCTGGCACATAGTAAATGCTCAGTAAATATTATTACAGCTACTGCTTTTCTTGAGTCTTTCAAGGGATCTAGTAAGCCGAAGAAGGACTTTGGAGCATTATTAGTGCAGATTAATTCCACTAAGACCCATTTGCTCCTTTGGGGATCAGTTAGAGCTTAGTCTCACTGTCCCGCCTTGGAAGCATGTAATTTAGTTTTAAATAGAACAGCTGGACCCTGAGCAGGGTGTCCTGAGATGCTGCTGGAGAGCTGCTGAAGTATCCCTGTTTGTCCCTTCTGGCAGAACCTTGGATTGTCTCCCTCGTGGTGGTGGCGGCTGCTATTTTAATCACTTGTTTTTAAGTATGTGATTGCATTTCTTTGTCATGTGCTGCTATGAAAAACATTATCTATCACACAAGCTATTGATGGGTATATATGTGTTTATCTGATCAAGATAATGTATTCCAGGATATACAAAATCACTTTCATCTAAGTATTCTTTTTGTTTTGTTGTGTTTTCTTCGTTATTGATATTACGTAGAGTGAGATTAGTTTTGATTTAACATTGTGTTCCTTTTCAGCTTTCATGTAATTTTTCTAGGAAAGTTTTTTTTTTTTGAAATTAATGATTTTATATACTTCTTGTTCTTGGTTTGCAGGAATCTGATATTAATACTCTGTTTGTTAAATGAGATGTTTTAAAACTTTTAGTCTTAGGACCCTTTTATACTCTTAAAAAATTATTGAGTGCCCCAAAGAGCTTTTGAGTCTTCTCTCTTTTTTCTTAGTTAGTCTGCTAAAGCTTTGTCAATTTTGTTAATGTTTTTCAGAGAACCAACTTTTGGTTTCATTGCTTTTCTCTATTATTTTTCTATTCTCTGTTTCATATATCTCTGCCGTAATTTTTATTTTCTTCCTTCTACTAGCTTTGGGTTTAGTTCTCTTTTTTCTAGTTCCTTAAGTTGTAAAGTTAGATTGTTGATTTGAGATCTCTTCTCTTTTAATGTAAATGCTTATAGCTATAAATTTCCCCATTAGCACTGCTTTCTCTGCATCCTATAAATTTTGGTATGTTGTGTTTTGTTTTATTTGTCTCAAGTATTTCTGATTTCCCTTGTGATTTCTACTGTGTCCCATTGGTTGTTTAACAGTGTGTTGTTTAATTTCCACTAATTTGTGAATTTTCCAGTTTTCCTTCTCTTATTGATTTCTAATTTTATCTTGTTGTGGTTGGAGAAGATGCTTTGTATGGTATCTATCTTTTTAAATCTGTTGAGATTTCATTTGTGGCCTGACATATGGTGTGTCCTGGAGAATGTCCCATGTGCACTTGAGAAGAATGTGTATTCTGCTGTTAGGTAGAGTGTTCTGTATGTCTGTTATTTCTAGTGGGTTTATTGTGTTAAGTCCTTTATTATCTTCTTTCTGTTTGTTGTATGCATTATTGAGACTGGGGTATTGAAGTCTCCAACTGTTATTGTAGAAATGTCTGTTTCTCCCTTCTATTCTGTCAGTTTTTGCTTTATATATTTTGATGGTCTGTTATGTGTGTGAATATTTATAATTGTTATATCTTCTTGCTCTCGTGAATCTTTTATTAATATATAGGGTCCTTTGTCTATAGTAACATTTTTGATCTATAGTCTATTTTGTCTGATATTAGTATAGCCACTCCCTGCTGTCTTTTGGTTACTATTTATTTGCATGGAATACCTTTTTCCATCCTTCACTTTGAACTTGTTTGTGCCTTTGTATCTAAAGTGACTCTTGTAGAGAGTGTATATTTGGATCATGTTTTTTTCTTGATCCATTCTGCTGATCTCTGCCTGTAGATTGGAGAGTTTAGTCTATTTTACATTTAAAGTAATTATTGATAAGGAGGAACATCTGTCATTTTGGTACTTGTTTTTTATATGCCTTATAGCTTTCTGTGTTCATCGTATCTTGTGTATTTTGATTCTTATTGGGATGTTAGTGGGGGCTGACTTTGGCTGTGGTACTTCCCTAAACAAACAAACAAACAAACAAACAAACAAACAAACAAAACAAACCATTCTAATGAGTCAGAGTCATAGTTTGGAGGCCAGGAAAAGGTGTATTTCAAGGTAGGATTTTAATCTTCACTATCACTTGTATATTCCTGTATTTAGGAATTTTGACATTTGTTTAAGTCTAAAACTAGTAATTTGGAATCTGAGTTGGGGAAGAGTTATTTTAAATAAACTAATTAAATTGAAGTGTAGTGGGATTCTGCTCCCTTAACAATATGACCCTGTTATTTTTAGTATAATTAAAGCCTCACATAGCAGAACTAATTAGACCTTTTATAAGTGCCAGAACATTTTTTGTGGAGTAGTCTGAACCATCGAAACTTGTGTTTTTAATGAGGATGCAAGATGAGGAAAGGTAAACTGTATAACCTTTTAATAGGTTTACTCTTACCCACATTTTTTGATAAAATTAATGACAGTAATAAATATGAAATAAATTTGCCTGTTTGTAGATTGGGCTAAAACATTCATAAATTAATCATCGAATGTCATATGAGTAAGGTAACTAGATGAAAATATCTACGTTAATATAGTAATTTAGAGTATGTTAATAAACACAGACCATGTTTAGTGTATATAGTTTTCTCTTAATTTAAATGGTAATAATCTCTATCTGCCTGTTGCTGGGAATATTATTTTTATTTTCTTTATGCAACATATATATATTTTTTAACTCCTTCCCTCAAAGT